TTGTCACCGTTGTCATGGTTGTCACCATTGTCATCACTGACACTGTTGTCACTGTTGTCACCGTTGTCACCGTTGTAAATGTTGTCATCGTTGTCATTGCTGTCACCTTTGCCACCGTTGTTATTGTTGTCACTGTTGTGACCGTTGCCATCGTTGTCACCGTTGTCATCTTTGTCATCGTTGCCAGCGTTTTCACCGTTTTCATCGTTGTCACTGTTGTCACAGTTATCAGGTTTGTCACCGTTGTCACCGTTGTCATTATTGTCACTGTTGTCACCTTTATCACCATTGTCATGGTGACACTGTTGTCACCGTTGTTATAGTTGTCACCGTTGTCACCGTTGTAATTGTTGTCACCGTTGTCACTGTTGTTACTGTTGCCACCGTTGTATCCGTTGTCATCGTTGTCACTGTTTTCATTGTTGCCACCGTTGTCACCGTTCTCACTGTTGTCACTATTGTCACCGTTGAAATTAATGTCACCGTTATCACTGTTGTCACTGTTGTCGTCGTTCTCACAGTTGTCACCGTTGTCACCGTTTTCACCGTTGTCATCGTTGTCACTGTTCACTGTTGTCACCGTTGTCACAGTTATCACAGTTTTCACAGTTGTCACCGTTGTCACTGTTGTCACCGTTGTCATCGTTGTCACCTTTGTCACTGTTGTCATTGTTGTCATCATTGTCACTGTTGTCACCGTTGTCACAGTTGTCACCGTTGTCAGGGTTGTCTCCGTTGTCACGGTTCTCACGGATGTCGCAGTTTTCACTAATGTCACGTTTCTCACTGTTGTCATGGTTGTCACTGTTGTCACCGGTGTCACTGTGTTCACCTTTGTCACTGTTATCACCTTGTTCACGGTTGTCATCGTTATCATCGTTGTCACTGTTGTCACTGTTGTCACTGTTGTCACTGTTGTTGTCGTTGTCACAGTTGTCACCGTTGTCATTGTTGTCACCGTTGTCATCGTTGTCTCTGTTGTCACCGTTGTCATCGTTGTCATCGTCGTCACTGTTGTCAGTGTTGTCACCATTGTCACAGTTGTCACAGTTGTCACGGTTGTCATCCTTGTCACCGTTGTCGTCCTTGTCCTTGTTGTCACCGTTGTCACCGTTGTTATCGTTGTCACTGTTGTCACTGTTGTCACAGTTGTTCAGCTTGTCATGGTTGTCACCGTTGTCACTGTTGTCACCGTTGTCAGCGTTGTCACCGTTGTCACTGTTGTCACTGTTGTCACGGTTGTCACCGTTGTCCCCGTTGTTACCGTTGCCATCGTTGTCACTGTTGTCATCGTTGTCACCGTTGTCATTCCTGTCATCGATGTCACTTTTGTCCCCGTTGCCATCATTGTCGCTGTTGTCACTGTTGTAATGGTTGTCACTGTTGTCATGGTTGTCGCTGTTGTCTCTGTTGTCACCGGTAACTAGGCACCGTTGGCACTGTTGTCACCGTTGTCACTGTTGTCGTGTTGTCACCGTTGTCACCGTTGTCGGCGTTGTCACTGTTGTCACTTTTGTCACCGTTGTCACACTTGTCGTGGTTGTCACTGTTGTCATCGTTGTCACCGTTGTCACTCTTGTCATCGTTGTCATTGCTGTCTCCTTTGCCACCGTTGTTATTGTTGTCACTGTTTTAACCTTTGTCACCGTTGTCATTGTTGTCACTGTTGTCACCGTTGCCATCGTTGTCACCGTTGTCATCTTTGTCATCGTTGTCAGCGTTTTCACCGTTTTCATCGTTGTCACTGTTGTCACAGTTGTCAGGTTTGTCACCGTTGTCATCGTTGTCATCGTTGTCACTGTTGTCACCCTTGTCATCGTTGTCACTGTTCTCACCGTTGTCGCCGTTGTCACCGTTGTCATTGATGTCAGTGTTGTCACCGTTGTCACCGTTGTCATCGTTCTCACCGTTGTTACCGTTGTTACTGTTGTCACCTTTGTCATCGTTGTCATCGTTGTCACTGTTGACACCGTTGTCACAGTTGTCACGGTTGTCACAGTTGTCACGGTTGTCACAGTTGTCAGCGTTGTCACTGTTGTCACCGTTGTCACTGTTTTCACCGTTATCACCGTTGTCACTGTTTTCACGGTTGTCATCGTTCTCACCGTTGTCGTCGTTCTCATCGTTGTCACCGTTGTCAGCGTTGTCATTGTTGTCACTGTTCTCACTGTTGTCACGGTTGTCACGGTTGTCACCGTTGTCTTTGTTGTCATCGTTGTCACCGTTGTCATCGTTGTCACTGTTGTCACTGTTGTCACCTATGTCATCGTTGTCACCGTTGTCACCGCTGTCATGGATGTCACTTTTGTCACCGTTGTCATTGTTGTCGCTCTTAACACTGTTGTAATGGTTGTCATTGTTGTCATGGTTGTCACTGTTGTCTCTGTTGTCACCGTTGACAACGCAGTCATCGTTGTCACTGTTGTCCCGGTTTTCACCGTTGTCATCGCTGTCACTGTTGTCACCGTTGTCACTGTTGTCACCGTTGTCATCGTTGTCACTGCGGTCACCGTTGTCACAGTTGTTATGGTTGTCACGTTTGTCACCATTGTCATTGTTGTCACTGTTGTCACCGTTGTGACCGTTGTCACTGTAGTCACCGTTGTCGCTGTTGTCACTGTTGTCACGGTTGTCACTGTTGTCAC